CAACTACGTTTTACTCAGATTACAATACTCCCGATCTGTTTCTTCCATATGAGCTCTTATATGAACAGTAAAAAATGGTTCGATTTTGACAGTTCAAATTGGTTCGAAATCCATTACGAGTCCGCCAGACCCAGGTTATATCCTATTGAAAATCCGTGAATATCGACAATGTTCTCTAAAATTCATTCATGTTTCATGAACTTCTATGAAGGTCCCTGTACTTCCACAAAGATTCTTGAAACTCAGTTCCATGAACTCAAACAAAGCTCCCTGAACTTCTTCCCAATCTATTGAACTTATCTGAAGATAAGATTTCTGAACTTACGTACGTACTTCCTATAACTCATACATTGTTCCCTGAACATCTACAATGAGTCCTGAACTTCTTCGAAAGATTTTAGTTTTTTTTACGTAGGATTACGTCTTTGGGCAACATATTGACAGGCTTGATGAAGCCCCGCTCGCGAGTTTAAAATGAGCCGAGCGTAGCATTTTTCTGAGGAGTGAGTAGAACGCTTACTGCCAAATCATTCCGCTGCGCTTCAAAGCTTGTGAGCGAAGGAGGATAAAATGAGAGTGGGGTTTGCCGCCATTCATGTTCATGTTTTCTATCACACGCTCTTACTCTCACTCCGGGTGAATTTCTTGCGTCGAACAAAAAAGTCATCTGGAGTCTTGAAAAGCGCACCTCACGTCAAATCATCCTCAAAAGTTTCAAAAGTTGATAGGCCCTTTTCAAATGTTACGCGAGTATTATTCATGTGTTCATTTTTAGTAAACAGGGCCCCGCTGTTGTGTCACTTTTTGTCGAGTGAGTGAACTCAAATCCATTCGTGCACTCGTCTATGGAACGAAATCAGCTTCTTCGTGAGCTAAATGTATTGGTGCAATCTGTGGGCAATCCGATGTCAATTATACAAGGTCTGGCCCAACCGGCTTGTTGGTATTAGTGAAATGTAGAAATGTCTAGTGGTGGTCGTATTTCATCGCAATGTTTATCTTTTTACACGAAACAGCTGTTTTCTGTGACGACACGTCTGCCAATCGCAGTATGGAATGTTGTGCTGCCGTGACATCGGCATTTTCTTGCTCAGTAATGTTTACAACATTTATGCTTCTAACACTAGTAAGCTGCCTGTTGTTCCCGTTGTTCCAGACCTTGTATGATTGACATCGTGGGCAATCCAGCTAGGTGGCATCCCTATCTTGTTTGCCTTACCTTGAAAAGAGCTAACATCGCTGCGGGCCCGCGAATTGTGGGCCCCACTGACAGCTCATAATTTGTAAACAAATAGAAGATTCAATCCAGAATTCAAAAAAGGCGTGACTGATATTATGGATATTCTTAATACTTTTGCTTACATTTTGTGAAAAATAAACTTAGGACTCATAAAATATTATTTTCTGATTTTCTACCACGAATTAAATCATTTATATGGCATAAAAGGAAAAATAATTTCATTTGATAAAAATAAGACAATTGGGTTCTTTAATTTTGAAAAATATATCGGTTAATATATATCATCTGGAAGAGCTTCGTTTTCTGAGCATAGCAATATTTTTTTCGAGCTCACACGCTTTCATCTCGATTTTTAAATCAAGATTTAAAGCAAAATAATAACTTCACTGTTTGACACTAAATTGACAAACTGACAGCTCTCTCCTATACAAAGTGACACCGAGGGGCGCTAATAAGGTGATTTTTGCAAATGTAATCGTACTTATTTAAAATACTTCCAGTGTACCAAAATTGATGAAATTTTGGGTTTGCGTTCCATTTTCAATGAAGATTACGAATATGCATTTACCTCAATACCCTTAAAGAACCCAATTCAGTCACGCCATTTTTGCAGTTCACACTGGAATTGTGACGTTTCAGATGTTGATTTCAATAACATGGCGGCATGCCACCCAACTGGGGCAATCTATTAGCGAATTCGTTTATTATCGGGGTTGGAACCAGTTCCAACCCAGTGCGAAACCGAACTTTTTGTCAGTGCGAACCTCAAACTGAGCTGGGTTTTAAAAACAAACGATCAAACTGACGTTTGTCAGAAAACAAGCAGACCCAATCTTGATACCCGATCCAGGTTGGAACTGAATAATAAACGAATTCGCTATATGCCAAGTGCGTCACCTTCGTTCCAAATAACATACAGCTTGCCAGCCTCATCCGTGTTGCTCAACATTATGACAAAACGGTGCTTTTTAGGATCACCATAAATTATTGTTATTTTAGAGGTCATTTTCATTGAACGTTCGCTCGCCTTGCTACCAGCCACATCACCCCCAAAGCTCTTTGATAATGTACCCAGCAACCAAACGTTTGTCGTCAAATGCGTAACAGTATTGAAGTGGTACATACAAATTCTCGCAATGACCGAATACCACATGACCATGTCAATTAACCAGAGACCGTAAGGTTTTCTCCAGGACGCTAGAAAAAGCAAAACAATCTCGAATTAATATGATTGATCGCGATTGGAAAAATTTGAGCAAGAAATTCCTTTTATTATCTATTGAATAAAACCGGTCATATTACCGGGGGTCCACGGTATTTCAATTTCATCTAGATGAACGCCTCATTGGGACGGTACTAATGGATATTTTCTGTCACCATTGAAAATTTAGTCGATTGCTGAATTTATGTTTAGGGGCATTTAGGCCCGCTCCGCTATCGTTTCCAAAAACATCGAGGAAAAAATTCCACAGTATTGTTCTTAACTAGCTTCCAAGCTTCCAACCCATCGGTCCTGTTCAGGACCACAAATGACTAATCCAAGACATATCGTCCAGAATTGGCTTGTACTACATGAACATCGACAGAGCACCTCACAAACAGAACTCTCAAATTGCTTCCGAATTTCAACCTATCGATTTTTTTCACTGATAACGAGTTAAGAAATCAATTTAATATATAGGGGAAATGCAGGTAATGTTCGGCCTAAGTGTCCCTAATTCAGCAATCGACTAAATTTTCAATAGCAACCAAAAATATCCATAAGTAACGTCCCAAAAACGCGTTCATCTAGATAAAATTGATAAATAGCAGATTTTTAGCGATGTGCCCAATATTACATAGGCCAACAATTAATCATTTTGTCAAGCTTCTGCATTCATGTTCCATCAGATGTCACTGCTGTTGTTTGCGGTGACATCTATCGGAAACTAGACACAAGTGCAAAACATGTCTGGTACCTCTATATTGGCAAATCAAAGTTGGTACTCGTGGAGAATAGAAGAACTATGAAAGTGATGATGGTTTCAAAATTTTACACGGTGAGGTATACGAGTGCAATCTTAAAATGCTTTTATTTTGCAAATGGAGCATTTTATTTAAATCTGGTTGATGCTATGTTAGTAGAAAACTTAAGGACTACTCAATAGACAAATAAAACAGAAAAATTAATTTCTTTTCAGATTTTTAGGTGTACACATAGATTTGAGCTTTTCTACCACTGTAGCAGCAACCAGATTTAAATAAAATGTTCCATTTGCAAAATAAAAGCATTTTAAGATTGCTCTCGTATACTTCCCCGTGGAAAATTTTGAAACCGCTTGAGTGAAGGGGAAAGCAACGCATAGAAAAATGAGCAAATACACAAACCTTTCTTCTGAGGATGTAATCTTTGAGGAACTTTCGAACCAACCCGATTTCGACCCCTCGGTTGTATCTAACGTGCTCTGGTCCACATTCAGTCCATGAGTTATACAAATGGACAGCTTTATAAACAACATACGGTGGTAATATGGTACCATCTCCTGCAGCACTGAACATCACCGATACAGACGCTTTAGTACTGTTAATTACCCGTTCCGGATAATTGTAGCCACGTCTAGCTATAACCTTCCTTTTTCCCGGTCCATCGCACAAGTTCGTTTCATCATAGTTTACAATAGAGAGGGTCAAGTATAAGAGAGGAGCGGGCTGGCTGGTTTTGAGCCACATGAACTGTCAAAGCCAGAGCCAATCGAGCAGCGCCTATATTGAAATCACATAGGCATAGCTTGCCAAGGTAGTTTGTTTTGAATCTGCTCCTTTCTTATACTAGTTTACAATATTTAATATTAGAAGGTGGTACATCTAGGAGTCCCTTACATAACTTGTTGAAGAAGTCGTTGATGATTTTTTGGCACATCCTGTATGGGAACTCCTTCTTATGCCTTTTCGAAAAAGAATAAACACAATCTGGTCCTGGCAGGTTTCTCATGAAGGTTGAAATTTTCTTTCCCGTTCTATCCAAATACTCTTTAACAATGCGGCGCAACATCCGAGAACATCAACAGGATAACCCCACTAAACCTTTGGACTTACAAACCTTCGTCAGATTCAGTTAGGCACGTTTGTCCGCCTTAGGATTTGATGACATTTCCTTTTTTCGCATGCCGATAAATCACTGAGTATACTCAGCTATTGGAGTAACGACATTGTTTTTGTTAGCAACGTCCATTAAGGCCATTAAGACCTGCTTCAAAGTTTGTGGGTCTGCTTTGTTGTACGTTTTTGAACCTTTTCGTTTGTAGTTTCTAACCTATGCTATCCAAGAAATAAGGGAGCACTATGTTGGTGTAGATTGCATAAAACGAATGACTTCAATAATCTACGCCATTGTTTCTATTCGCCCCGTCAAAGTGTGAATCGGAATCACGTATTCAAATTTAAGTGATAATATGATAAATACCTGTTGATGTTCAAATGTTTCACAATTGAATTAATTGCTACAGTTCGAATTTGTGCAAATTTAAACAAATGTTTACACAATAGACTATGAAATTTCTAGAAAAATGACAGCAGGGCTGCCAACCCAACAATAGTTTGTCGTTTGTCTTTCAGTAGCTGGGAAAATGTTGTAGAATGTTTTTTTTTTAAATAATCTTAGCATAGTAATAATATTTCCAAGGGTGGGAAGCTTTGTTTCTTTTTCTCCCACTGTTTCTAATCGTCTTACGATACTATATTCACTTGAACGTTCTTTCCGGATATAAAAGGCCCGATCTGCCACCCCCTTCAGGATCTTATTCCATTATATTTTCATAAAAATATCAAGTGCATCTTCAGACTTACCAAAACAATGTCCCGTCGCATTCCTCCCGTCAGGACTGCTGCTTGAACTGGCAGGCCTTAACAGCAATCAGCTGCAGGAGCACAAAGATCGGCGAAAACACCTCACTATACTCCAGCCCACTCTGCCCGGACAGCTTCATACACACCAGGTACTTGAACCCGGCCGTCAGCAGCAGGAAGTGAATACTCCAGGACAGCCGGTGCATGGCCTGCCGGTGCTTATTGCCCAGATACATCCGGATGCCGACAATCACACAGAAGTATGCGTTGAAAAAATCTCCACAGAACAAAGGCGAGAACATGACCAACCATTCGCTGGTGCTAATGGGACCGGCCTGCAGCGCCCCAGTGGTGGCCTTGACCGTGAGGATTATGCTAAACACCAGAAAGGCCAGCAGATTGACCAGTATCTCGAACTGCGTTATGCCGATCCACTTGACCACGTCCACCAACTTGAAGTAGGTTTTGATCTCGACCTCGTCGGACATCTTTTTCCGTGAGGGGGCTATTTTGACGGCAATTGTACTGCTCTGGGGAGCGCTGAAAACTATCTAAATCTAGGTTGGGTGAGGGGACTGACGAGCGCAGATTGGAAATCTGTTCAAGCAGCTGAGTTGGTTGGCTTGAGTTTGATGGTACGGTACAGCCGGATGTGTAGACAGGAATTCATACGACGCTGCTCGCTGAAGTCATCGTCGTCCTTCAGCGGATGTAGGTCGTCTGTAGGAGAAATTAATGCTAAATCAAAGAGGAATTTTAAACACTTTCAAGTAGAACTTACCAGTTACTGCAATGGTGGAAGTATTTACCTCGTAATCAAATGCTTCCGGATATTCTCCCTTGATTTTTAGCGCAAGATTTATGCCTCGATTAATTGCCCGTCCGGTGCAGTGAAGGAATGCTTCCCCTAGGGCAGAGTTAAGGATTTCCAAGCACCTTTTGTATTGAAACTGCAAGGAAAAAAGAACTTACTGACATGTTTCCCTCGATTAGGAGCAAGATTCACACACCGTAAAGTCCGATTTGTACGTCACGTAGATGTCGTTTTCCCGGGTGTAGTATTTGGGAAGAACGCGCTTTTTCACTACGTGCCGATCGCTAAACTTCCGTCCCCCTGAGCCCGCAGGTTGTTGCTGCTGATCCGAAGATGCTGTCGGCGGTTGTGGATTCGCACCGGAATTGGACTTGCTTTTGTTGCTCTTCCTGCCGCTGCTGTTCGGTGTTGTTGGTTTTACAGCGACATTTTCCTCCCGCACGGATTTTCCTTCGGACATTCTCTGTATACACCGGCCGGTGATTCGTATCCCATCGGGTGGGTTCGATAAGGGGATTTGGCGTGGAAATAGATGCAGGAAGCGGTTGGAAATTTTGGTAATATCGCGAAATACTTGCTGCAAAATGTGAGAACTGTTCAATGTGAACGTCTTGTTTACAAATTAATAATTCCAAGCAGGCAAACTGTCAAACTTCGGCTAATGTTCGGAAAATCGTTTTCTACGGGGATAACGTTGCGCACAAGCTTGCGCTATTTGCCGCAAGGGCTGCGATCGGAACTGACACAGTGTAAAATATCATGCTAAATATCAATATTTTTAATTTTAATGATTCATCATAGTACTAAGGCTTTTTCAGTTCGAAGTAAATTTCAATCAATAGCAACAGCAAATGAAATAGATGTCTTATGGTCATAAAAAGAAAATTGTCCTTCTAGAAGGTTATAATCACCCCTTTTCTGTATTCCGTACGAAACGGATTTCTAATAAAAATTTTGTTTTGCACGGAATATCCGTTTCGAATGGAATACAGAATAGGGGCGATTAACATAACAATTTTATGCAATAATATCCAGCCTACGGCTGAAAGTCCCTTAAATAAAGAAATCCATCAACCATGAAATAATATTTGATTTTTGTAAGTTCACCAAACCATAACAACTCCATGTTAAATATCCTAAATGCAAACATCCAAAATAAGCTTAGAAACAGCCAGAGAATTTTAACTATTATTTTGTGATAGGTTTGTTGTTCCTGTATAAATGAGTTCAGTAAGTTTTAGATTTAGTTTTTGATGTTCTTTAACAATGGTCCAACAGATAATAAGGGCAGATAGAAGATAGAAATCAGCAGACAAACCTTCCGATTTCATAAATTTATTTCACACTAGAGAATAGTCAATGCCATTACTTATATGCAACAGCATACATACAACTTAGCCTAACAGAAAACCACGCCCCCGCCTTACGGTTTCCACATCTTCAGCAATCCATCCTCGCTGTACGTCGCCAGCAGATTCTGATGCGGATGATGGGTCAACCCGATCACGTCCTTCTCGTGCACGTTCAGCGTTCGCTCCAGCTTGCCGGAAGTGACCGAAAAACAGTACAGCACCAAATCCTCACCGGCACAGTAGATGAACTCACCCCTCGGGGAAATGGTAGCGCAAATGAATGCACCTCCCTCTCGCTTACCGGACGAGAACGAACGTACAATCTGTCCCTGCATGTTCATTATGACGACCGTGTTGGACCGATTGCAGACGACAAAGTGTTCCGGATTCTTCGGTAACATCAGCACCGAATTGACCGCCAGATCACTGCCCAGCGCTTTGAACGTCGAAATGCATTCCGTTGTTTTGAGGGACCAAATTTTAACCGAACCATCCGAGGAAGCACTCAGCACGTTGTGTCCGTCCGGGGAGAAAATCGACTCATTTACAAACGACGTATGACCCCGAAATTCCTTCAACATCTTACCGGATTTCAATCCATACAAACGAATCAAATGGTCAAACGAAGCGGTCAGGATTTGGCTGTTATCTCGAGAGAACTGCAGACAGGTGACTCCTTTGGAATGCGCCTTTTCGAACCGACGCAAGCACTGACCGGTCAGCAGCTTCCACACCTTGATTTGTCCGTCCTGAGATCCGGTGGCAAGCATTTCCGAATCACGCGAAAACGACATCGCGAGCACGGCCTGTTCCATCATCATGAAATTATCCTGCGCTTGGTACTTCAAATCCTTACGAATCTTTCCGGTCGTAAAGTTCCACACTTCGATGAACCCATCGACGCTGCCGGTTACCAAATACTGACCATCCGGCGAGAACAACGCACACTCGACGTGACTCTTCTGACCGAACTTGATCTGTCTGGCCAGCTGTGTAGGATAACTTTCGTCTTCCTGATCCCTGATGGCGGCCTTACCGCGGAACAAATCGATCGTCGTTCCGGGTGGAAGCAGTCCCTGATGCTGCTGCCACTTCAGTGCCTGTCCGAGCAAAGCCAACAACCTTGACGATGGTACGACCGAAACCTCCCCGGCCAACGCAGTCGCAATGGCAGCGCGACGCTTCTCCTTACTTCCCCCCTCCGGATAGGCTTCCCTCGGATCGAAGTACGCTCGCTGTAGCATATTCTCCAAATGAATGTATCGTTCGGCTTCCTGCTGTTTCAACATAATCATCGGATCCGTTTGCCGCAGCAATGACCGAGCAGCTCCCAGCTCACGCAGTTCGATTAGTTCCAGCACCACCTGCTCGTACAAGTCTATCAGCTTCTTATCGGGCAGTTTGAGCGATTGAATCGCCTTGAGAACGGTATCCCAGTGCCCATTGTGTATGTCGGACACGAACCCTTCGACGCTGTCGACTGTGTTGAGCGAGACGCCGGTTTCCTCCTGTAGGGTTTGCAGCGTTTTGTGAAGATTCGATTCCTTTAGGTACTGCTGGATCAGACGGATTACGCTGTGAAGCAAAAGGGTAGGTTGCTTTTGATGGTATTCACGGAGGCTTGGGAAGCAATCGATACTTACTCAGCAGATTCTATTTCAATGGACATGGCAGCTAACTGTTATTGGTCCTTCCCGTGTCACAAATTCACAATTTTGTTGGTAATTTGCTGTGAAATTCAGTATTTTTCCTTAACCAAAACAGCGTTCCCTTCACGACACCGACCGCTACCGGGCTTGATAAAATAATGACAGCTAGGATGTAAATAAACAAACGAAAAATGTGTGCGCGAAGTGAGCCCGTGTTGGAATTGAAAAACAGAAAACGGAAGTGATGCCAGATCACCTTTTAAAATAGATTAAATCGTACAGTACATTCTGTTTATGTCGTCATTTACAAGAACAGCTTGAAGAAAATAAGGCTCTCCCGAAAAAAAATGCTACCCGAAAAACCCATAAAAATACAATGCATTTTACTGTTTCTGTAACCAGGCTGTTAGCTGTAAAAACAATGAACATTTATGCCCACTACCTTATGGATTCAAAACCGAAACAGCTAAGAAATTAATATTTATTTGATCACATTTTCCAGAGTAACAATTACCGGAAAACATTTCTCAACACGCACATTGAGACCCTCATAAGAGCTTATTCAGGTAATAATTTGTTTCATCAGCTAAAAAATAATTAATTAGCTTAAATTGTTTGATGGATTGTATGCAGAGAAGTAATTTCAAGCAGAGGCCACATTGCGCATCTCGAAACGAAAAACTTTTTCATACAAGCATTCGTACAAAAAGTGTTTCGCTTCGAGATTCGCAATGTGGTTTCAGTTCTTATTTCGTCAAAATCAAATGTAAAATGTTGACTAACTGCAAAGGAGCTGTTCATAAACAGCGTAGACTGTTTTTGAGGAGGTTTTAGACCCCATCCTAACCCACGTCAGAACTCCCAGATATAATAGACTTATCGGTAAATATACACACTTAATCTAGCTCGGTAAAATCTACAACAGCTGATTACCTCGGCATTTACTTTTGATGATATCCCTGCAAAATATATGTTTGTTAGCTGATATCTCAGCAGAATGATATTTGTTAGCTTATGCTTATTATAAATGTGCTAATTTAAAGGCCATTTTCAACCAACCCGACAATTTTCGACAAGTGCTTCAAAAAATTTGATATTACGTACACGCAAAATTCAGCATATTTGTAGGTATGTGTCAAAATTTTAGCTCAATTGATCATAACAAAACATAGTTGCACATGCCAAACTTGGCTAGTTTGTATGAAAATCGGCCTATTGTGCTATTTTAAAGGCCACCACTGTATATATGTAGTATATCTGCACTCTTAGCTATGATTACCTAAATTTATCGGTAAAAAATTATCGGTATTTTTTACCGATACAAATCGTTACTTTTTACTTTAAATAGGCTATTTTTTACTATAAATAAGGTAATATTTAACGTTACCGATGACTACCGATAATTTAGGTATGTGCCGATTATGATTACCGTGTATGATTACCGATAATTTAGGTATGTGCACTTTCTTCGATTATCGGTAATTTCTACCGATATTTAGGTATTCTTTACCGACTTTAAGGTATGTGCAGCTTAGCGTGTGGAATATCCTGTATCAAACAATCTAGCAAGCGTTCAATCACAGACAAACAGACATAACTCTTAGAAGGAAATCCTTTAAAATATATCGTCAAGCGTATTTTGCATGCGCACTAGCACCATAGAGGTAACTCTAAGACCACTGGGTCCCGAAGAAAATCATTATTATTTTTGGCTCACTCAGTACCAGAACAACGGTCCCAAGCAGTCCCAAGCTATTTCACTCACCCCTGCATATTCTGCATGAATCCACACACCCCTGATGTTATCTGTCAAACTTTCATAGCGAATCAAAACAAACATAGTGTAGTAATAGAATTTCAACTAGAATAGGGTACGTTAATCGTTTGCTTGGGACCAATAGGCTACTAAAGTGGTGAGCCAATTTAAAATCGTTAGTTTCGTATTGATTGTTGCTAGCACCATCTATCATTCACATTCCCAAGCAATGTTTTGCAACCGGAGCATCCCTCGTGCATGCAATTTTTTCACTAGTTGCTTTTCCCTCGTTCTGTCAACCCGTCAGCTGTGTTGAATAAAACCAAAACAGATGGAAGTCAGTGATGTCGGTTCTATGAAATTTTCCGAAGATCTATAGAATTGATTGAATTCTGCAGAAATACGGATCCGAAGGAAACATTCTTAGAAGTTAAGACTTTTTTTAGAGATTTGTTTTGTTTGCTTAGTGTGCTTTTTCTTTTGCTAGGAACAAGTTTTTAAACGAGGTAATGCATCACTTATTAGCATAGAGGTAACTCTAAGACCACTGGGTCCCAAAGAAAATCATTATTATTTTTGGCTCACTCAGTACCAGAACAACGGTCCCAAGCAGTCCCAAGCTATTTCACTCACCCCTGCATGTTCTCCATGAATCCACACACCCCTGATGTTATCTGTCAAACTTTCATAGCGAATCAAAACAAACATAGTGTAGTAATAGAATTTCAACTAGAATAGGGTACGTTAATCGTTTGCTTGGGACCAATAGGCTACTAAAGTGGTGAGCCAATTTAAAATCGTTAGTTTCGTATTGATTGTTGTTATTAGTGCCCTTTCTACCACCGCTCATCACTTCAATGTGTACACAGGAGAAACAATCAATCAATGATATTCATGGTGAAGTATTGAACATCAATAACTGGTGAAAGTTGATAGAATATTACAGTCATCAACATAATTTGTTCTTGAATTCTGTGTACATCGTACAACGTAATATTAGGAACGGAATGACTATTGTGCAGCAGTTTTGATGTAATATCTGACAACTTTTTTTTCTGTATTCGTCAGATGTGGTATGTGTCTCCAGTGGAATGCCTTGACCTCTTATCATTTTCAAGAGCTGACATCTACTAACTAGACGTGAAAAAGAACTGGCATCACTGATAAGTTCGAAATGTGGTGGCTTGCTCAATGCTTCAGTGGCGCCACCATGACACATTCCCAACTAAAACATTATTTACGATGAATGTGATTGTGAGTGTTATGTCTGTTTGTCGGTGGTTCAATTGTTATAACCATTTTAAAAATTGACAATTTTTATTCCGAATCACCCTGTACTATTTTCCATAGAACTTGAATTGATTTACAGCTCAAATAACCGCACATTAAAAATCCGGAAAATCATAACCGCTGGGATAGTTTTATAAATTTTCATTTTTTTTCACCAAAAACACGGCTGGTGCGTGTCAATACAAAATCGATACAGAAAATATAATATTCCACGTGGGTAATGGTTTCAAGCACGTGCGATGGATACATTAATCAGGAAAGGTGAAAATATTGTCCTCATCTCGGTCCTCATCTTATGCTTAACGGCAAAAATGTCAGCCCTCATCACTCTATGAGAGTTCCCCTATTCACCACCAGAAGTTGATACGAAGGCTGAAGTTTTCTAAATTTATGAAAAGTTCTGCGACTTGCTGTCCACTTCTACGAAGTTTTCTGAAATTATACCATTTATTTATAGCTTACACAAACTACAACTATTTTTTTACACAGATTACTGAACTTGAAAATATTTCCAATGTTTCATTTACAGTTCCCGAAAATTTGACCAAGATCCCAGAACATCATGTTGAATTTCTATATTTTTCCATCTACAAAATTCCCTTGATATTACGAATATTTCGAAAATATTACCTGCACTTATACATAATTCCTTGCTTTTCAAAAAAGGTTTGGGAAGTTTCTCAATATTATATTTAGTTCACTCAACTTGTACAAAGATTTCTGAACTACTATAAATTCACTGTCCTTCGATGAAGCTTTCCGAACTTTTAAAAATTTCAAATATCTTGTGTTTCCTGAAGTTCTATAAAAAAATATATGCAATTCTCTGTAGCAATATTCAACATTGGCTGGAATCAAATGTTCCACTCGAAAGGCACCCCCCGGAAAAAAAATAACCATACAATTACCATAAAATAATATAAAATCACAACAAATTATATTGCCAACATTCGATCCTATTGTATGTATGTCATACAAGTAAATTTAAAATATTGTTATTACAATAGATCTACAATACGTTCCATAGAGCATGAATTTTTAACAGTAGAAAAACAATAAAATTAATGGTAAATGACTCAAGTTTATTCGGGAAAAAGTGATTTTCTGTACGGTTGAGATACATAACAACCCCCTTGTTCTATTGTAGATTTCCACATTTGCCATAGATTCTATTGTGGAAACTATACATTATATGGTTATTTTATCGCTGTTGACAATACAATTTATTTTAAGCACAATAAATTATATTGTATGGTTACAATACATTTCATTGTACCTGTATCGTTCTTTTTTTTTACGGGCCTATTTTCCCAGCTTGGAGCGTGCCAGTACCGCTTATAGTAAACATAAGGTGATACGGCACGTCATGCAACAATGGCTGTCCCCACAATCTTGTATAAAGCACACGTCCTCAGAGTCCAGTCGAATTTGGAGCTTCGTCAACATCATAAGGAAAGATTCGAGTAGGGGAAGTGTACCAGTATTGGCCATAGGTTCCTATTTCTGCCACACCTCAGAAAACTGATAAATTGCAATACTCGTGCATTTTATGGTCAACATGTTTATGTACACCGATGAATGAGCAGCTCGACTAGTCTGGTGGCTGCCGCTTTTGCTTACTGAGTAGAAGACCGTGGGGGATCCACATTGTAAAGATTCCCTATTTTCAGCTTTTTTACAGGCTGGAGTTGTTGTTTGAACCATTTAGTTTATCAATTTAATTTATCTGTATAACAATTATTCACAAGCATTCTTCCAGGTCAATTCAAGAATAGTTTGATGATGATAAATCTTTCTAATATTCACATTACAGTTATGACCCGATCATGTCAACCTCTCCGCGCATCAGACTGTTATTTTTCAATAATTCCACATAATTGTAATTTCATACCTTCCTCCTTCAAGATGAATGTTTAAGATACACATACTTTGCTAGCTGGCAAAATGGGGTCATTGCTGTATAATTATTCTCTTTTGGCAGCCTTCATTCAGACTGGATCTATTGATTTAAATTATTTGAGTTTTCTTCCAGCTCTTTGATGACGGAACATCATTAGATTTACACTGG